ACTAAACCCAAGCATACCACTGCAAGACCTCAGGCCATAGTCAGTTCATTTTGCATAGATCGGACCATAAACAATAATTAAAAAAAGCTGAAGGTACTCCGGGTTTAACAATGACATCGGGACGTCAGTCATCTCAGTCCCCCGTGACCATGGGTGCTGGAAAGCGCCCGAAACGTCGGGAATTAAAAATAAAAAGTAAAAATAAACGCGATAAAATCCGTAAAAGTAGTTTTAATCATGTGCAATGTTCGCGTAAATATAAGAAATCATTATGTTAACCAGTACGGACTGGAAATAGCAAATAAAATACGCCGATTAGAAGATCTAAAGACCAAGCGCGCAAGATACATAACAGCTTTAAATTTCTTGAAGAGATGCAGAGATCATAATCTCATTCCTACGTGTGTCAAGATATCCACTAAAAAAGACATTCGAGGAAGCGCCAAGATCTTAAATCAGGCTAGTAAAAAGTTGTTAATAACGGTGATTCAGCAAAAACGTACCGATCTATATTTCATAAACAAAACCATAGACAATTCGTCCAGTGAATTAAAGACAGTTTTATCGACATTTGATTATAAAAATTGCATGGAAACTTTAGATAAACGCGAAACAACTAAATACAATGAATGCAAAAATAAACACATTGATAAATACCATAAATTAACAACTAAATCAAATGTCCAACATACGAAATCGTGGACCACAGACACGAATCATAAACAACGCGCTGTCTACAACTTATCAAAACAAACACTGGACGACGCCGCAATAAAAGTTTTAGAAAAAGGTATTAATTTCGCAATAACACCGCGAAAAATACCGTATGAGGACATTATCTGTAGTGTCGAGGACTGTCTGTATAAAAATAATATTGGTAATGAAGATTTAGAGGCCATACGTCAAGACATCTCGTCTATGTTACGTCGAAGTTCAGCGCCGAAATTAAATCTCCCCAAAAATGAATTTAACGCGTTGAAAAACTTACGCAACAGACCAGAGCTTACGATTCTCCGCGCAGATAAAGGTAATTCTACGGTTATAATGGATACGTCAGATTACAATTTTAAAATACAACAACTTTTGTCGGATGAAACTACTTATCGAAAGGTCAAAACAGACCCTACAACTAATACGCTTAAAACAACTAGCGATCTAATTAAGAAATACTCCGAAAAATTGAATCTGGACGTTAATTCGATAATACCTTCCTGTGCCAAACCACCGAAGTTGTATGGGTTACCAAAGATACACAAACCGAATGCTCCATTACGTCCAATAGTGAGTCAGATTGATTCGCCAACTTACAGATTGGCTCAATACTTAGCTAAAATATTATCACCACTCAGAGGACACACAAGAGCACACACTAAGGATTCATACCATTTTGTCAGTGAGATAAAAGACCTACATCTTACTGACAATGAAACCATGGTCAGTTTTGATGTTCAGTCTCTATTTACATGCCTACCTGTTGAAGACTGCATCTCAATTATAACTAGGAAACTAGAGGAAAATAACATGCCAGCAGAATATGCAGTATTACTAAGACATTGCCTTACATCTGGCTATCTATTGTGGAAGGAAGAGTTTTACAAGCAAGTAGATGGTGTGGCGATGGGCTCACCTGTATCTCCCATTGTCGCCGATATATTCATGGAAGACTTTGAGGAGAAAGCCCTCCTTACTGCACCTGTTACACCAAGGATCTACAAGCGGTACGTAGACGATACTTTCACAATTTTACCATCAGACAAAGTAACTGCATTTTTAGAACATCTTAATTCCATAAACGCTAAAATTCAATTTACTATGGAGTTAGAGGCAAATAATTCCTTACCTTTCCTAGATGTGTTAGTCATCCGAAATCCTAATAACACCATTGGTCACACTGTGTATAGGAAAAAGACCCATACAAACCGATATTTAAACGGTGAATCTCACCACCATCCTTCACAGTTAGCTACCGTGGGCAAATCTTTGTTACAGAGAGCACGAGGGATCTGTGACAGCAAACACCTGGCCGCCGAGCTTCAGCACGTCAAGCAAGTTCTGCACGACAACAAGCTTCGGGTCCCGCGCCTACGTCACAGTGACCGAGTGAAGCCGGCCACAGTCGAGCGTGTGCCTGCTGTACTACCATATGTCAGAGGTGTCACAGACAAGATTGGCTTTATCTTGAAGCGAGCTTCTATTAGAACATTCTACAAGCCACCGAAGAAGATTAGTCAGTTCCTACCATCCGTCAAGTGTCATATTCCTCTACAAGATGCAGGAGTGTACAAGCTTGATTGTGAATGTGGTCTCTCTTATATAGGACAAACCAAAAGATCAATTAGGACCCGCGTAAAAGAACATATAGCTGATGTGAAGCATCAACGTTCCGGGAAGTCTGCAGTTTGTGATCATATCCTAGACGGCCCCAACCATTACATCAGATTTGATAGACCACAAATCCTCGCGAAAGAACACCGATTCCTACCAAGGATGATACGTGAGGCTATTGAAATTAAAAAACATCCTAATTTCAATAGAGAAGGAGGCTGGGTACTACCACCTGCTTGGGATCCTATAATCAATAAAATTAAAACTAAACCCAAGCATACCACTGCAAGACCTCAGGCCATAGTCAGTTCATTTTGCATAGATCGGACCATAAACAATAATTAAAAAAGCTGAAGGTACTCCGGGTTTAACAATGACATCGGGACGTCAGTCATCTCAGTCCCCCGTGACCATGGGTGCTGGAAAGCGCCCGAAACGTCGGGAATTAAAAATAAAAAGTAAAAATAAACGCGATAAAATCCGTAAAAGTAGTTTTAATCATTATTTGCACTAGTTTATTTTACAAATATGCAGGCGCCATATGCAGATGGTGATGCATCACTGAAAAAATGTAATTCTATATATTTTGGCGAGTCACCCAACACCAATCGCGAGATATGTACATTATCCAAACATTTTAAATTTTCTGCAAACTTCAACCATTCATATTCTATTTCTGAAGGTACCGGTTGATCCCAATCAATTTTTTGCTGCCACAGCTTTTGAAGCATGATCTTTTGCAACACTATTAGTGGGCTCAGAACACACAAAGGATCAAATATTTTAAAATAATTTGACATGATCGATCTTTTTGTTATAGGCACATCGAGTTCCTGCGTTAGCTTTATAGGAAAATGCAAAGTGTCATTGGAAGGAATCCACCTCGGACCAAGAGTACTGGACGACTGACTGATTGTTAACGTATCGTGCTTGTGAATATCGATACCATCGAAAATAGAGGGACAATTGAAACAACCTGATTGTAACGCATTTGACACCGACTTTTGTATATAAATTAATTGTTGAGGGTCATCTGCTCCTGTGATTAAATCATCGACATAGAAGTCTCTTTGTATAATGTATTTTATGAGTCCGTCATCTTGTTCTTGCCCTAACTGCCATGAACAACGTATGCTGAGGTAGCTTGCACTTGCAGTGCCATAGGTTACCGTGTTCAAAGCCAAAGTCTGAATAGATTGTGACTCATTCGCCCTCCATAAGATTAGCTGTAAGTCCCTATCACTCTTATTCACTAAAACCTATCTGTACTTATATTGTCTATCACGTATCAAGATGGAAAAGAGGGCGTCTTGAACATTTGGGCAGAACATTAATATGTGGTTCAGAAAATAGCCTGCAGTGGTGGGGGCAGAGCCGTTAAAAACCACACGGAGCTTGGTGGACTTGCTTTCCTGTCGTATGACTGCACGATAACAAATGCAAATGGTAAGATGGGTTAGGGTTCGGTTCATTATTGTAATTGTTTATTGAAAGATTTCCTAAGTCAGAATACCCGTTTCTGAATTTAAAGTATTCTGATTTGAGAGCTGGGTTGCGTTTAAACCGTTTTTCTAGATTAATAAATCGGGTTTTGGCTAAATTGTAACTGTCATCCAAACACTCAACCGATTTTTGCAAAGACAGTTTTACACAAAATCTACCTTTCTTATCTCGTATAGTATGAGCAAGAAAGTGACTTTCACATTCATTTTCAGGCTCATTCGTGCTACATTTAGTGGGAACTTCTTCAAATTCCCAGAACTTGGACATTAATTGTTCAATATTTTCATTTTATGATTCAGTGATAATTGCGTGATTACAATGTATCTTTTTGCTAGATACTGTTGAATTTATTGGGCCAGATACTATCCAACCAAGATGTGAACTCCTTAACTTAGGACAATTGGGTCCTAGGGACTGTTGTTCATTGCCTAGAATGTCCCAGAAGAGATCAGCACCTATCAATACATCATTCATTACAATTCGTTTATTTTATTCAAAAACATATTCAAATATAGTAGTTAACAAACTGTTGCAATTAAACATTTCATTATTTTAATATAATTTGGCGCTGGGACAGAGGAGAAAAGTGCGGGACGAAGCAGGGGTCGGCACGTGACAATCTACGAATTGCAGTGTTTTGTTTTAACTAGTGACGATAATTGTCTCAAGGTGAAAGGTCGCGCGTCAATTATTTTCACGAATACTTATTAATTTACGTTTTTAAGTGTATTAACATGACTTCTACGAGACAAAAGTTAAAATGTCCAATATTTGGTGAAAGTGCAGAGTTGAAAGAGAATATTCTTGTGTAATGAATGGGTAAGACAAGACTTAAAAGTAAGAAATAACACAAGAAAAGAACCTACGTTTTTGGAAATTGCCGAAATAATTGCAACGAAAATAGAAGAATTGTGGATAAAATCTTCTATTCCAATTGTCACACACAAACGAGTTATACAGTTAATAAAAAATTAGCACACAAAATGTTATAATTTGACAAAGTCTCTGAAGAAACTTAAGGAAGAAAAGTTAGAGGAGTTAAGAGTACAAAGTAGAAAGCTTTTTGACATAGCTGCATGTAAATGTAAAAAATATATAAGCTGTACTTGTGTGAGAGAAAAAAAGTACCAAAAGAGGAACAAATATTTTTTGACCAACGCTCTAACAGACTAATGGTTCTAGGAAGGACGAATCTTGTCCAGAGTAAAAAATTGCAGAATAGAAGATTACGTGCTATTAAACATGAAATCAGGCATAATTCAAATATAAGAATTAAAGAAATTCCTTCTACTTCGTATCGGCTAAATAGATCTGAAGTTTGTTCTAATGTCGACTTTCCTTCTTGCTCGTCGGCCGCAGATGGTATTGACACCACTCAAACAGTGGATCAAAAGCCTATAAAGCTCACGGATGCCAGTCTTCATAGTTTGACGACTGTATGCGATAGGTACGGAGTATCAGACAGAGCTGCAGCGGCTATCGTATCATCTGTTCTATGTTCTGCTTCTGATGCCGACTCTGAGGCACAGTCTACTAACGTTGTGGACAGGATGAAACTAAGAGGAATAAGACAGAAAGTACGCGAGCAAATTTTAACAAAAGAAAGAGTTAAAGAAATTCCTGCATTATATTTCGATGGAAGAAAAGACAAGACGGCTAAAACTGTATTAAAAGGATCAAAGAGGTTTAGAGTAATTGTAAAAAAGGAACATATTTCGATTATAAAAGAACCAGGTTCTGCTTACGTTGGGTATGTTGTTCCAGCATCGGGCAGTGCAAGAAATATTGAAAGAGCTATCCACAGCTTTTTGACGATTGAAAAGATATCACTAGAGTAATATAAGTGGTTTGGATGAATTATGTATGAAGGAGTTAGACTTGCAGAATGTATGGCAAAATGTAAAGAAAGGTTTAGTTGATGCAGCTACCGAAGCATGTGGTGTTGGTAAGAGGAAGAATGAAAGGAAAAATAATACGTTATGGTGGGATAATGAGATACGTATGCAAGTTGAAGCAAAGAAGAGAACATGGCAATAGCAACAAAGGCTGGTAATTCTAGCGGTACGAATAATGATATTGAAAGAAAAAAGGCAGTCTTTAAACATCTTAACCTGTAGAGTCGATCAGTCTACACATGTGTACCAGACATAAACATCTTACGCTCGCTCGATCAAGATACACATATGTACCACAAGTACTACCCTTTGAAAAAGAATTTTTTTAATTAAAACAAAACCAAAGACACTATGCAATAGATAATAGTATCAAAGACAAAGATATGCTCTTTTATTTTAAACCATAACCTGGCAATGTTTCTTAGAAACATTGCCAGGTTATGGTTTAAAACAACTTTCGGCGTTCCACGTGTCGCTTTGATGAAGGTGCTCCGTCTTTTTTATAGAATTTTATATTTGTGTCTGGACTAAAAACGAAAGTATTATACTTTTTATATTCCTTGTAATATAGTAAACACGTAGATATATAATTTGTGGTATAAAAAGTGAAAAGTAAATTGCCAAAAGTACTTCGAAATACGGAAGGCCCATTTTGGCGGTTGGGTCATAAATGTGCAATAATTTTTCCAATTCTCATTTATTTTTAGCCGCCGCTCACTTAGCGGTCAGTCGCCGTAGAGTCTACATTACCTGAGGATACCTCGTGTAGAGGCGAAACACGTGTCGTATTGTCGTCGATGGTGTGTTTTACCTGGAATAGTGGTGTTGGAAGTAGTGGTGCCGGGAGTAGTGGTGCTGGGACTAGTGGTGACGGAGTTAGTGCATGCAATTGAGGGAGGGCGGGACGTGCTCTTCAATCCAGGTAAGACACATCATTGTAATTAGTTAGCGGAAGGTTGCAAAGTAATAAATTATTTATTACTTTCAACTAAAGTTTTGGCTTTGGCGATGTTTATTATTATCTCTTGCTCAATATTGTCGCGCTCCTCAATTTCAGCCGAAATATTTTCATGATTTAAAACCTCTATTTCACTCTGCAAATCATCAACCTTAACACAACGGATAACGCTTCAAATTTGGTGAGTTTTAAAGTTTTCGGTAAATTGCACACTATCCGTCCGTTTTACTGCTAATGCTATTTAAATAATTTTTAAATTTAGTTATTTGCCCTTTTGCGGACACTCTTTTTGTAGTTAATTCACGTAATCGTGTTTTATTAATTTCTGCTGATGAAGTCATTTTTAATAATTAACTTTAATTTTTATCTTCAAATAAGTTTTAAATGCTTATTATTTAAATAGAAATGCAACTGTTAGAATAGTAAATAATAATGGCTCACGTTTCTCGTTCTGGCGGTACTTGTGTGCTGTACACAAGCTAAACAGGGAAGCCGGCTGCGCACGCTCAGCGGATCGCTCCCGGTCGGTGCCGACACAATAGCGACTAACCGCGAGCAGTGCTCCGAGTTGATAGTTACTTATATAATCTGGAATAGTCGGCAAATACGCTAAATATTTTGTAGATAATTGATAAAGAACAAAGGAACCTACCGCTCAAAATTTTTGTATTTTTGTTAACTTTTACTTTAAAAACAAGAATTTGTACTGGCTAAAATTGTGAACCGTAATTTAATTAAACTAATTTAATCATTTATTTGTTAAATTTAATGGAATTCTAAGTAAAGTTATCCAAAAAGTAACTAATTCCTTTGTTCACTTTTTTCTTTTTTAATTTAAGGTGGGTATAAAAGATGATGCAAGAACAAAATTGCACTTAATTTAATAATTAGCGGCTTGAATAGCCTAAAAAACACTTTATTTACACAAATGGAGTACTATTCTGAATAAGTAATTGGGATTATTGGATATTTAAAAGAAAATAGCTTTGAAGGAAGGACACTTAACTTCTGCGGCGAGAACCAGCTCACGTGTCGATGTATAACTTTCACTGTTGTACTGCTCGAAACTTGATCTTCTTCTCAGTATACTTCTCGATCTTGATGCTTGAAACCCGAGACTTTACACTGTTCACTGCAAGGTTCCATCCATAGCAATAGATCCGTTGTAAAATTCGAAGTCCGCCGATGGTTGTGTTTGATGAATTTCTTGACTTTTATTGATTTTCTTGCGGGTTATTTTTAGTTCCCCTCATGGGCCACCATGTTTTATCTTTAGAGGATAAACTGGTGCAAATCAAATGCTCTTACTTTTCAAAATTAGTTATATTAAATAAAATAGTGTTAATCGTACTGCGTTTGGTTGACAAGTTACATGACATTGTGAATTTGCTTTGAGAAGCACATGAGCGCCTTCTGACGATATGAAGGCAATCACTCATTCGCGCATTTCACTTAAATCACTTCAGGCGTTAAGCCTGAGCACATTCCATCTTAGTATTCAGAACAACGCATCTGTATTTTGATTATTATCGAGGATAGATGTAGATCTCTATGGACCACAATATCCACTTACCATCAGGTGGACTGTCTAAAAAAACAAAAAAAATATTTTTCTCCGCCCTAGAATGAGAGAATTTAAAAAATTATGAATATCAATTTTTTAAGAGATGTCAGGAAGAATTTGTCACCGTTTTTCCCCATTAAACCGCAGTAAATTAGTAGAGGATGAATCAAAGCAATATGGCTAGGCATTGGCTTATTTAAGATCAACTGTTTTTTTATAAAAAAAATTCTGTTCTATTAAATTTTCGATAAAAAAACATTCCTACCTCGAAATATAAATTTGATACAATATAAATAATAGCCATGTAATCATAGCATAAAATATAAATAACAGCTATGTAATAATAGCTAAAAAAAAGCATGTTTGCAACTTACCATGACACGGGTACGAAATTCTATATCATAACAAGTTCAAACACAAAAAATGAAAAATACTGTTTTAAGGCATCCTAAAGGAGTAAATTTATGGACGACAAGGGTCGTGTTATATGACACGCAGCATAAATATGAAACTTTACTATTTAATGTCGAATATGACGACCAAAAGTAAATGTCTTACGACATGGTGAGAAAATAATATACTTGGAGAAAGTTATATTTTACACAAGTAAGAGAAGCTAAAAGAGCACAAGTTTCACCTGATGGTAAGTAGATACTGTAAAGTAGACATTTAAGAAAATGCGAATACCTTGTCATCCATGAAGGCAATGCTTTACCAGTAAAACCAGTTTTTGGTTCTTATCATTCACATTGGTAATTTGATAGTGGTCATTTCGTTCTACAATACAGCTGCAGCTTGAATACCAGGTTATGAATGTGTAAGTATTATTTATTTTATTTAAAAACGTAAACTTGTGAATAAATGTATATGTCGTGTGTGTGTGTGTGTGTGTGTGTGTGTGTGTGTGTGTGTGTGTGTGTGTGTGTGTGTGTGTGTGTGTGTGTGTGTGTGTGGGTGTGTGTGTGTGTGTGTGTGTGTGTGTGTGTGTGTGTGTGTGTGTGTGTGTGTGTGCGCATATATGTGCGTGCGCGTCTTTGTGTGCAAATATGTGTGCGCATACGAGTGCGTGTACGTATGCGTGATCTGTACAGGTCACTTAAGAGCTGGTGGTCTTAAGTTCATGAAAAAAAAAACTGTCGTATTGGGTGCGTAAGTAAGCTTTTATTCGACACTATTGAGGTGCTCGTGGTTTTTCCTTAAGTCATATGTATATATACTGCCATAATATGTCAGAAGTGTCACTGACAAGATTGACAACATGAAACGCACTTTCATTAAAACATACTTCAATCTGCCGAAGAAGATAAAAAGATCAATAAAAACCCGCGTATAAATTTACACGAGTGACGTGAGGAATCGACATTTCGTTAGTCTGCAATTGTCTAAATCTAAACATATAGTGCTCGTATTAATATAAAAATTATAAAGTAAAATTTTGGTAAGATGTTACGATGACAACATATTAGGCATCAGCTTCGTTTGTATGCTAAATAAAATAATAAATGACAGACATTATACAAGGTTCGCTGGGGTAATACCGGACGGAGTTTCGACTATTAAGAGTCTCGCAAAATATCTCTTTTCTTGACATCCGTATATACCGGATTTCTGAAACATGGTGTAAATCGTTAATGATCAAAGGTAGTTTATCCATGGGAACCTTTTGCTTTTGTAAACTCAACGGTTTCTGATTTTAATGTGTGTGAAGACAAGGCATACTTATTTATATGCATGAAGAAGAATTGGTCATCAAGGGGTAAGACCGGACTTAAATTTAATGCCAATTCAAATGCTTAGAGAACAAAGTTCATAAAAGGAATTTTTCCTGCCATTACCGTTCGTAACGTAAAAACGTATTTAAATATGTTCTATAAATTACTTTTATTTATAGAAATAGGGTGATAAGCCAGCAGACAGCCCACTTGATGGTAATTGGATGATGTAGCTCATAGACATCTACAACCATCCTCGATTAACAATCAAAATTCAGATGCACTGTCAGCCCTAAGGACTAAGATAGAATGCCTCGTATCCAGTAAAAAGGGTCTCCGGTTCTCTATGCTCACCTTACAAAAAACAGCATCATTGAGCTTCTATTTTATGCTGGTATTCCGTGAGATAGTTCTCCTTCCCCGTTCGAGCCAAGCCGGTCGTGCTATAACCATAAGGTAGCTGCAGCATAGCTCTATCACGTAGATAACATAAACGTTCTAAATGATCCTTTTTTACATGGCATCCGGTCTTATCCCTGACACCCTGACATAAAGAAATTGTAATTTTACTGTCGGAAAAATCGCCGGTGGTAAACTATTCCATAGAGAGGTCGCACGCGGAAGAAAACTCCTTGTGAAACGTACAGTGGTGGACCGCCAAGCATCCAGATGGTGTGGATGGTATCGGGACGTTTGCCGCGTAGTGCGT